GTATGGCAGGATACTCTTCATAAGAATCATCTATGTGAGTGTGAACTGGGCCGGTTCTATGAGAATTGTGACAGGGCTACAATTTTTAGAGCACTCATGAAAGACCAGGTTGTTCAGGGCCAAAATGAACACAATAGTGAGAACTAAACTGTGTCTGGGGATATACTGTGTGAGTTCTATTGTCTTGGTTTACACAAACGGCTGAACAGTTCAAGACATCATGTTCACTAGTTAGCTAGTAAATCCGATAGTGTTTCACAAGGGAAAGTTCAAAACCAAAAGCTACCTATCCTTTGCAGAATATTTCCAATTTCTGTACTCTCTGTATTTAGATCATGTTGTTGCATTTTCTCTCCGTCAAATTCCATTCATGTGGGGGATTGTTGGAAAAAATGGTTTAATGTAGGCATATTTTTTAGCCCAATTTTAAGTGGGCCCCAAACGTTGTTTGGGGTGGGTCCGACGAAGTGAAGTATTCCTTGCTGTGTGGCAAGTCACACGGTGAATACGGAACGTCAAAACCATTTATGAGTGAATGGGAAGTTGACGTTGTTTTCGGGTCTAACATTAATTTTTTAGATAAAATTCATTTGAATTTTTTCAAAAAAAAAAAAATTATTGTGGGAATTTAATTTAATTCTAAATTCAAAATTTGGGTTCCTAAGTGGTTTCCTAAAGTTTGTAATTTTGGGAATTTAATTTAATTCTAAATTCAAATAGTGGTTTCCCAAAGTTTGTCAAATAGATTAATATTTATATTCTAAATATTGTTTTATTAAATCTATTCAACTTTTGGCTTTATTTGATTAAAATATTCTAAATAGTTTAATAAATATATGTATACCAACTGTTTTGAATCTAGTACCAACGGATCTTTCCTTTTCACATGTTTGAATATTTGTGTGCTAGTGTAACGGTCACAGAATTTGTTTGAATTCAAATTCTGAAACTGTCCATATTTTGCACCAGTTCACTACATTTTTGCACTTGTTCGGGACAGCATTTGTGTGCCTATATATATCTACTTTCTGCAGTGTTTAGGGTATCCGAAATTTAGTCTACATGTTTGATATTGCTGTCCAGATTTCATTTGTATGCATTACTCTTCATTTTAGGTTTAGAATAAATTAAAGAGAGTATAAAATACAAGGTTTGGTTCACCGTACAATTTTGTTTAGTGTGCTATAACAATTTTGTGAAGATCATTGTATCCTAGGAGATAGACGCCACTTAACCATAAGCACCGTTGCTGGGCGAATCTGTCGACAGAATGTCACACACTCGACTTGGTCTTAATTTTAATTCGGTTCGATAAATAAATCTGATATATTATTTATTTATTTTGTTTAAATTTATTTTAAATTATTTTATTTACACAGAAGATTGTTCCAACAACCGACGAATTTTTCAACAACTTCTATGGCATTAGCAAATTTTTTATGAGATGCTGGTAGCGGTGGTTCACAGTAGTCGACCGTGGCGATGTAATGCTATATATTTATCATATTAGACTTATTATCTCATATGTTATTATTATATTGATTTAATGAATCTATCACTAACACTTCATATTTTGCACCTGATATCATCATCTAATCATAAATTATTGTAGAAATATAATATAATTTACAATGCAAATGTGTGAATTAATAAGTTGAATTATAATCACCTCCTGTTTTTGGATCAAAATCAACTTAAATTAAAAAAAGAAAAGAAAAAAAAAAACAACATATTAGGTCTAAAACTACCACACCAACACATTTAATAGGGCTGCCCACTGGGTTGCTTTTGCTTTTTTTCGAAACGTTTTAACCCCTAATTGGGTTGCGCAACCACCTATGGAGCATCTCCAACCTACTAGGCATATGATGCTTGTTAGTCAAAATGCCTAATGTGACTCACTTTTTTCAACTCCAATGCACTAGGCATATGCTTAGGCATTTTGGCTCAGCTCACATTCACTAGCTACATGTAGCTAGCCTTCAAGGCTAGGCAAAATGTATTTAATCATTAAGATTATTTCCCTCCATCTTTGTTGCTGACGTGGCATTCTATAAAGTTAATAGTATTTGGATGAATAACTAAAATAAAGAGCATGGTTGGGGCAGAAACATGAAATCGTTGATAGGCAAAATAAAATGTATACTTTATAGTAATATTTAGATAGGTAAAATGCCTACTACCATTGGAGATGCTTAGGTGCTTATCTTCCATTTCTATATAGTTGTTTCTGCTGTTTTGCCCGATCAAAAAAAAAAAAAAACCACATTTAATGTTAAATTTTAGGACACATTATCTACACCTTCTTGAGATTTAGTTAAATTACAGATTTTCTTGAAGTTTTAGAAATTACATCCCATCCCGAGATTTATATTTACATAACAATTTACCCCTTTGTCATTAAGTAAACGTTAGAAATTATTTTTGACGAACGATATTGCCCCTGGTACCTTTCCAAAGTATTGAACAACTTGATTTAATCTGAAATCCTTTTAATAAGCCAGCAAAATTTAAAAAATAATTACGTTAGATGGAAAGATAATTTTTTTTGAATATTTTTTAAAATTTTAAAAAATTTTGGATTGCCCATATATATTGAAACTATATCAAATTCTTTGGTCAATACTTAAAAAATAATAAAAGGGAAAATTACACAAATAGTCCCTATAGTTTGGGACTTGTGTCACTTTGGTCCTTGACTTTTCAATTGTGACACATTTGACATTCAATTTTGAATCTTGTTCCAAATAAGGACAATTGAATATATAATTAGATTTTTCAAGGGTAAAATTGTCAATTTGATAAAATATAAACTAATTTGACAAAAATAAATGTCAAACAAATATTTTTGAATTTTTAAAAATTATTTCTACCTGCTAAAAATAAAATTATGTAAAATTGATAAATCTTTTAGACATTTATTTTTTTATCAAATTAATTTTTATTATGTGTTTGGATGATGATCATGTAAAATTAATTTTAAAAAATTAATCATGTAGTTTTTATTAATTTTACATAATTTTATCATTGATGGATAAAAATAATTTTTAAAAAATTAAATTTTTTTTTTGACATTTATTTTTGTCAAATTAGTTTATATTTTATCAAATTAACGATTTTACCCTTGAAAAATTTAATAATATTTTCAATTGTCTTTATTTGGAACAAGATTCAAAATTCAGGGTCAAATGTGTCACAATTGAAAAGTCAGGGACCAAAGTGACACAAGTCCCAAACTATAGGGACTATTTGTGTAATTTGCCCTATAATCTTACTACTAACATAGTGTTCATAATGATGTGGTTCATCATGAATTTTTTATTTCAAAACAAAATATCATTAAAGATGAGTTTATTTACAATAATAATATTCACACATCATTTTTGTGAAATTTTTCATATGAATTTAATATATGAATAGAAGTTTTCTTTTCTGTAGGAGAAAGAATTTAATATATGAATAGAATTTAATATAAGATTTGAACACAATTCTGGTATGAGTGAATCTTATTTACTAGGCCAACTATTAATTTCTACATATGCTATTTTAACATAGTAAATACTAGAAATTACTTACTAAGCAATTATTAACTGACTTGACATGACATATTACTCAAATATCATTATTTCTCTACACAACACAGTTAGAGACATTTTAATTAATTTACTATCTCTGTCAACGACGTTAATTGCTATGAGACGAAATGCAATTTTTAAAAACTCAAAAAAAAATCTGTAATTTAACTAGAACTGAAGGTTGTGTGAATAATTTGCCCTAAATTTTACTAACGTTTGCTTTGGCTCCGAACCTGTTCCCTCGACCGTTACTCTGAGCCTATTTTCAAAATTTCAAACTATTTACGCTCACTGTCACCTCAAAACCACTTCCTCTCCCGAAAATTCCTCTCTCTGTCTCTCTCTCCCTCTCTCTCTCTCACACACACACACACAGAGGTGAAGAAGAAACCCAGAAATGGTTTCGAAGACAATCAAGAAAACCCCTACAAAACAAACCAAAGACCGGCGGAGCCACCGCCGGAAAAAGTCTCCGATCAAGAGCGTCTCCACCATCGTGGTCGCCTCCATCCACAGCTGCCATCGCCGCCTCATCAAAATCTTCTCAAAACTCGCCCGAATCAGCACCCCAACCAAGAACAAGAACAAGAACAAGAACAAAAACAAAAACAAAAACCCCAAAAAACAGGGCTACCACATCCTCCACCAAATCCCCTCCATTCACCACCACCTCCTCAACACCCCCCGCCGATCTCTCTTCTCCCCCACAGCCAACAACCACCTCCTTCCACCGTCAATTTCACCAGAAAAACCAACCATCGTTCTCGATCTCGACGAGACCCTAGTCATCAGCACCCCAACCAAGAACAAGAACAAAAACAAAAACAAAAACCCCAAAAAACAGGGCTACCACATCCTCCACCAACTCCCCTCCATTCACCACCACCTCCTCAACACCCCCCGCCGATCTCTCTTCTCCCCCACAGCCAACAACCACCTCCTTCCACCGTCAATTTCACCAGAAAAACCAACCATCGTTCTCGATCTCGACGAGACCCTAGTCCATTCCAAGCCCGACCCACCACCTGAGAATTACCATTTTGTGGTCCGGCCAGCAATCGACGGAACGAAAGCCGATTTCTATGTCTTGAAACGCCCATTTGTTGATGAATTGCTCGAATTTCTCAGCCAGAAGTTCGAAATTGTGGTTTTCACAGCTGGTTTAGAGGAGTACGCTTCGCTGGTGCTGGATCGGTTGGACCGGAAAAGGGTGATTAGGCACCGGTTGTATCGGCACTCGTGCCGGGAAGTTGATGGGAAGTTGGTGAAGGATCTGGGGGAGTTGGGAAGAGATTTGAGGAGGGTGGTGATTGTTGATGATAACCCGAATTCGTATTCGTTGCAGACTGAAAATGCGATTCCGATTCTGCCATTTACGAGTGATCTGTGTGATGGGGAGCTGAGGAGGTTGATGGAGTTCTTTGAGGGGTCTGATGGGTTTGAAGACATGAGAGATGCTGTGAAGCAATATGTTGCTGAAGGAAAACAAGAAAACAAATTATCAATGTAATTTTTTTTTTTAATTTTTAATTGTTGTTTGTTTGGTTAATCTTTTGGTAGAAAGTACTTTGTTAAACAAATTATGTTCAATTTAAAGCAGATTGTTGGTTTTCAAAAATATCTTAGAGATACATTTAGTTGGAATGATTGAGATTAATTTTAGGTTTCATCTAACAGTATAAATGGTTTATTGAACTCACAAAATCCAGCAGAAAAGTGTCAATTTCAATTATCCCAAATCTTGCCTCAAATCTCACCAAACCCAAATCTTTGCAACAACCTCTCTCGCCCAATCCAAAGCTCTATGCCAGAACAACTTTTCAAATCTTAACCTAAAATTCTTGAATTTTTACATTTTAAAATGATTAAAAAATGTCATACTCAAATTCTATTGGATTATATTTCATTTATCTATATAACAAAGTAGCTTGGTTTTGGAATGGTTGAGATTAATTTTAGGTTTGATCCAATAGTATATGGTTTATTGAACTCACAAAATCCAGCCCAAAAGTGTCAATTTCCAGTATTCCCAAATCTCGTCCCAAATCTTGCCAAACCCAAATCTCTATTGTCTTTGTTTCACAACAAATTTTCAAATCTCAACCTAAAATTCTTGAATGTTTACATTTTAAATGATTAAAAATTATCATACTCAATTTCTATTGGATTGTGTTTCATTTATTCAAAGAAAAAGAAGAAGAAGAAGCAATCAGATAAGTGCTAACTTTTTTAATAAATAAAAAAATTACAAAATGAAATAACAAATAGAGTGAAGCACCGATAAATCTCAAAATGCAATCTCGTGAACTTTTTAGTCATTTATTTTTTCTTATGAATCCAAAAATCCCATTAAAATGAAAATTACACAAAAGGATTGCCACTTACACATTTGGGATTAATTTTTTAGGGATAAAAGTAGGTTTTTCCAAATGTGAAATTGCACATTTGGACATTCCGCACTATAGAAGTTTTGGATTTTCCTTTCTTCTGGAACAAATCACACATTACGAATAAGAATGTAACAATCCAATAACGTAACAATCTAATATAACACACTAAAAAACTCTTTAGTGTGCTTTTTTCAAACGTAACAATATAACACTCCAATGAAATACACAAACAAAACTCCTTAGTGTATTTTTTCTAAATGTAATAATCTAATCAATATAATCTCAAACGTAACACTCCAATATAACACACATAAAAATACAAACAAACTACCTAGTGTACTGTTTCCAAACGTAACACTTAGAGTTTAAAATTATACATTTACCCAAAACTTGCTAAGGAATTTTTGTACTCCTTTTGGAATGGTTTGAAGAATCTCACATCTTTTTTTTGGAGTGTTATATTGGAATATTACATTTAAAAAAGTTCTATAGAATTTTTGTTTATGTTACATTGGAGTGTTAAACTAAGGAGTTTTTTTTTTTTGAAGTGTTACATTTGAGTATTAAATTGGAACGCTACATATTGAAATTATACATTTGTTCAAAATTTACTACGGAGTTTTTTTTACTCCTTTTGAAATATTTGAAGAATCTTACATTTTTTTAGAATGTTTGAAGAATCTCATATTCCAAGTCATTCCAAATAAAAAAGATTCTCATGTAAAAATTTATTCCAAATTTGATTCTCATAGGTGTGTATCTTATCTTTCTAGCACAAAAGAAAAAAAAAGAAGAAGAAAAAATAATAGAAATAAGGGTATAATCGTAAATCTAATTTTTAAATAATATATTAAATATACATTTCAAAAATTAATGAGATTAATTAGTTTATAAGAAAACTCTTGAGACTAATTGAATCACCATTCCTCAAAATGATATTTATAACTAAATTTTCCTAACAAGTAACCAATTAGATAAATGTTAAAATTTAAAATTGTTAACACTATCTTATGATTTATGTTTTTTAAAAGGTGAGCATTGCCATTTTTCTGTATTGTCATTTATTTATCTATACCTATAAAGTAGGAAAATTTATTATCTATCTATATTTATTTGCTCTACTTGTAACTATTTTTTTTCCCTTTATATGAAACTAATTTTTAGATGCAATTATTTTTTTTCTCATTGTTTGTAATCAAGAATCGGAAGACTCTAATTCATCCTATTAATGCTATCCAAACACATGCAGTATTAGTATAGTAAATCCATCTTTTTCTAAACGGCAATGCTACGTAGCTCAAATTTTGTGGCTCAAAAGTGGCTCAAATGGCCAAAACGACGTCGTTTTGAGCACAGAACAACATAAAAATGGCCAAAACAACGTCGTTTTGGCCATTTGAGCCACTTTTGAGCCACAAAATTTGAGTTACGAGACATTTTCCTTCTCTAAATTCTAACTATCATCAGTAGTAATGTTGTTAGTCATGGAGTACGCAAACCTAATGTATAGTGAAACTGGAATTGGTTTATCAAATTTGGTTAGGGACACCACCAGCCGAATTCAAGTACATGTTTGAATTTTTGTGAATTTTTTTTATTGATTTTATTTTATTATTATTATTTTCTTTTTACTAGCATTGGTATGTTTGATAACACTTAATTTTTTTTATGAATAGTTTAAAATTTTATTTCATTGCAAGTGCCTTTAGGCACAAATCATTTGTTAATGTTTTAATAAAATAGCTAAAATTCGTAATTAAATTAGTGATGAATAAGTCGAATTGAAACTAATTAAGCCTACTCCGCCGAGTTAGAAGAGCTCTTTCTATTTTGGTAGATTTTTTGACAGTCCTTTTTTTTTTCTCCCTAAAATTATATATTTTGTAAATTTTTTGAATGGATGATTTATAATACGCTATGGAATGGATAGATAATACTATATTTTCAAAACCATGCATAGAATAAGAGTCATATTTTCCCCTTAATTTCTATTGTTGGAAAGAAAAGCAACCTTGGTGTTAAGATGCGTTAGAGGATTTACAAAGATAATTGAATTTTGGAGAAGATACCAAAAGAGTTAGCCAAAAACTGAGAGAATTTTAGACATTGCTGCCAATGTTGTATCATGTTAATCTTGCCAAATAATTATTAATATATATATATATATATATTGAATTTTGTTTTGGTTATTAATTTTGAGTAATTGTTAAAGAAAATAATTAAGGCGAAACACTAATAAATCCTAAATAGTGATCTTATGAAAGTCTCCCCTTTTTTCTTAAGGACCCAAATGTCTCATTCTAGTGTGAATTATATAAAAAGCCAAACATAAATGCGCATTAATGGACAAATGTAAGTTTTCTCATAATGTTGAAATTACTAAACAAAGCACTAAAAAAAAAAAAAAAAAAAAACAAAAAAAAAAAAAAACTCCTTAATAATAATGTGCTTTCTCAAATGTAACAATGTAATATTTCACAAAAACTCATTAGTGCACTTTTTTTTTTTTTCAAATATAACACTTCAATCAATGTAACACTAAAAAAATTCTTAGTGTACTTTTTCCCATTATAACACTCTAATTAATATACTAGAAAACTCTTTAGTGTATTTTTTTTAAACATAACACTTTAATCAATGTAACAAAAAAAACTCTTTAATGTATTTTTTTTAAACTTAACACTCCAATCTAACACACTAAAAAAACTCCTTAATGTACTTTTCTCAAATGTAACAACGTAAAATTAAAAAAAAAAAAATCCTTAATGTATTTTTCCCAAAATGTAACACTCCAATCAATGTAACAAGCAAAAATTCCTTAGTATACTTTTTTCCAAATATAACACTTTAATGTAACACTCTAATATTACACCAGAAAATCACACTAACATAAATATAGATTTTTACGCTTGACAACCAACACTTCAGTCACCAATTCCCCCAAAAAGAATCTTAAACATCTTACTTTTCCATCCCTATCGCAAAAACGAATCAGAAAATTGGAAAAATCTATCACAAAAGGGCATTTTCTTAAACTTAAATGACACTAAATCAAATAATTATAACTTTTCAAAACAAAAAGGACTAATAAGTTCATAAAAACACTCTTAGGACTAAATGGATCAATATTCTCTCATATGGGATTTATGGGTAAATTTTCTAAATAACTATATTGAAGTTTGTTTTGATTATTAATTATGAATAATTGATAAAGGAAACAGGGCAAAATCTATTTGATTTTCCTGTGGTATGACTCGATAGTACTTTACCTCCTATTGTTATGGGTTTTTTCCTCAAATATAAGGAATTAGAATTCTGATTTCTTATGAATAGTCTAAAATTTTATTTTATTAGGATTGCCTTTAAGTATGGGCCATTCGCTAGTACATATATAAAGTCTAAGACACACCTCACTTTTTTAATAAATAAAATAAAATAAAATATATTTTTAGGGCAAAATCTATTTTACCTCCCTATGGCATAGTTTGATAGCACTTTACCGCATTATTTTTTAAAAATACCCATTTCCGCATGTGATTTTGAGCTAAAATGCAACCCTTAACATTAGCAAAAATATAGTTGTGAAATGACTATAACACTCTCAAACCATATATTTTTTGTTATTTTCTTTCTCTATCATCTCTCATACACATAATTTATAACGCCTATTATTAATTTAATTAAATCATAATTAATTATAAATTCTTAATAATTTATTGTAATTCTTAAAATTTTATTCTAATTTTAATTTAATTATATTTTAGATCACAATTAATCCTAAATTCTTAATTATTTATTATAATTTGTAACATGTTAATCTAATTTTACTTTAATTACATTTTAGATCAATTCTAAATTATTGATTATTTTATATTTTATTTAATTATATTTTAAATCAATTCTTAATTATATTTTATATTTTAGATCAATTCTAAATTATATTTTAATTTAATTTATTTTATTTTACTTAACATATTAATATAATTTAGATTGGGAGAAAATGGGGATAAAATTATCCTCATGTTGTATTAATTTCATTATAATTTTTTAGAAAATAAAATGCACTCTTAAAAATGGTGTGTGTAATACACTTTTTATTAGTTTGGATGAAAAAAACTAATGGTAGTACTTTAGTCTAAAACGATATGGGGGCTTTTTAGCTATATTTGAATGATAGGGACATAAAGTATTCCAATTCCAAATCACAAGGGGCTAAAATGAATTTACCCC